GAGTGTCTGAGGATGCTTCTCAGGGTGACGGGATCTTCCCTGGGATCCTGCTCCTCCTTGCATTAAGATTGTGTCAGCGACGTTGACAGACAAGGGGAGCAGATCAATCTCATCTTGTATCAAACCTTGAACTCTCTCCTTTAACTGCATGGTCCCAGCTGAAAGGCAGCAGGGCTGTAGAGATGGGTTAGGGGGTGAGGCTGTTGCCTTGCACACAATTGACCTGTGTTCAGTCCTCTGCACTCCTTCTGCTCCCCTGAGCCTGTGTGGAATGATTTCTGAGCACAGAGTCAGCCCTGAGCACATCTGGCATTTGTCACAAAGCAGAAATTCACTGAATGTCAAGACAGTTAGATTTTTTTGAGAGGGAGGAATAGGAAGAAAGGAGTCCCGGGATACTCAGCCCTGCTCTGTGGCATGATGGTTTAGTGCCAGGCCCGACATGTGTGTTGGTGGCACTTGTGCCACACCTGATGGTACTGGGGCTTTATCCTGCCCTGCCCACAGCCCAGCATGTCACCCCAGTGCCTGAGCCCTCCTGGCGCTGCTATAATCACTTTGTGTCTTGTATTGTATTCTATGAAGGTACCGGCAGAGGAACAAAGGCATGCAGGTCCCCGGGGCTGAGATCTCCAAGTCTGCTCGGATCAGGGCTGAGTATCCTCCATCCAGATCCTCCATCTACCAGTAGGCAGGGGTCACACCCACTAACTGGCCCCCTGGCACCATGTAATCCCATCAACGACCAAGACCCAGAAACTATAAAACTCAGCTCCCGGACATCTTATTATCTCATTCTTACTTTGGACAACTTGGCAGGCTACCGAATGTTTCTTGCCCTCACGGCAGAGTCTGGCAAACTCCTCATGGCGTGCCCAATATGCCAAATACCAGTAACAATCATGGGTCTCATTCTCCTAGCCCTGAAAGAGCCTTGAATATGGCACTATTTAAAATCTCAGGGCTAGGATGAAGGAGATGTTACTGGGGCCTGCTCAAAGCAATTGATGAGCAACAGAATGATCATGATAGTGATCATCTTGTATTGAGCATTACCTATGACAGTTTCTTCTCAAAAAATGTGTATTTCTAACCTCTGAAGAACCTGCCATCAATTCTCATCAATACATTGGCTCGGCTCTTCACATGTTACCTGTCTGAATGCAAGGTTCCATCCCAATGGAAAACCAGCAGGACTGTACTACTGTACAAGAAGGGAGACATCCACAACATTGGCAACTATCGCCCTATCTGCCTGTTGTCTGTCCTCTACAAGCTGTTCACTTGAGTCATCCTGAATAGGATTAGCAGAACAACAGATGAAGGACAACCATGGAAGCAAGCCGGGTTCAGCAAAGGATTACCATGATCGACCATATCCACACGGTAACCAAGCTCATTGAGGTTTCTCAGGAGTTCAAGATGCCGCTCTAACATTCATTGATTTAAAGAAGGCCTTTGATTCTGTTGAGAATGAAGCAGTCATCGAAGCCCTAGTCAAACAGGGTGTTCAAACTCAATAAATCAGGATCATCCGTGAGCTGTATTACAGATTCACTACTAGGATCTCACCACTCTACAAGGAAGTGATCATCCATATCAAGAGAGGGGTTCAGCAGGGTGATACCATTTCACTGAAACTCTTCAGTGCCACCCTCGAGAATGTCATGCGATGACTGGAATGGGAAGGAATGGGAGTGAAGATAGATGGTTGGTAACTATACACCTCCGCTTCACGGATAACATCGTTCTATTAACACCAAACATTAGCCAAGCGGCAGAAATGCTGGCCGACTTTGACCATGAGTGTGGAAAGGTCGGACTACAGCTGAATCTCACAAAGACAATGTTTATGAGAAATGTTCTCATCCTTAATGTTCCATTTGCTCTCAACAGAACAAACATCTCTGAATGTAACAGTTATGTATACCTAGATTGAGAAGTCAACATGACGAATGACCTGGCACCTGAGTTGCACAGGAGGAAGAGAGTGGCTTGGAACACCTTCAAGAGCATCGAAGAAATAGCTAATAGGATGAAGAACTTCCGGCTCCAGGCATATCGCTTCGATTCCACTGTTCTTCCTGCATTAACATACGCCTTAGAAACCTGGGCTCTACGAAAACACAATGAGAACGCTATTTGGGTCTCCCAAAGAGGAATCAAAAGAACTATGCCTGAAGTATCACGCTTCACTCGAGTGAGAGAAAGAATTTGGAGTTCTGACCATTGACAATCAAGAATCAGGGAAGCTGTCTCATTTGCCAAGGCGTCGAAAATTAGATGGGCTGGACACGTAATGTTATATGGAGACAACCTCTGAAGTAGAGCCATTATGGACTGGATTCCACAGGACGTCAAAAGGTCACGTGGCTGCCACCTACAAGATGGTCAGACTTCTTCATCAAGGCCCTGAACAATCAGTTTGAGGCTCTTCATGTTCCTGGAGCAAGCAGACGCCGCTGGGCTACATTAGCACGTGAGACGGACGAGTGGAGATGATACTGGCGCCCGCTTAAGCAAATCAGTGAGTAAAGGGATGTTATATGATCAAGTGATCAAGTGATTTCTAAACTACTTCATTTTGTTTGTTTGTTTGTTTTTGGTTTGGGGCCACACCCAACTGTACCAAGGGCTACTGCTGGCCCTGCATTCAGGGATCACTCCTGGCAGGACTGCGGGACCATATGGAATGCTGGGATCGAACTCATGTTGGCAGTGTCCAAGGCAAGCACCTCACCTGCTGTACTATCACTCAATCTCCTAAACCACTTTACTGTCCTCCCGTTGTTCATCGATTTGCTCGAGCGGGACCAGTAACGTCTCCATTTGAGACTTGTTGTTACCGTGTTTGGCATATTGAATACATCATGGGTCGCTTGCCAGGCTTCACCGTGTGGACGAGATACTCTTGGTAGCTTGCCGGGCTCTCCAAAGAGGGGCAGAGGAATCAAACCCTGCTCGGCCGGGCTGGCTGCATGCAAGGCAAATGCCGTACCGCTGTGCTATTGCTCCAGCCCTAATTTTTATATTCATTTATTTTTTTAAGGTAAAGGTAAAGGCCCTCCCGTTGATCATCGATTTGCTCGAGCGGGCCCAGTAACGTCTCTATTGGAGACTTTGTTGTTACTGTGTTTGGCATATCGAATATGTCACGGGGAACTTGCCAGGCTCTGCCACGCGGGCGAGATACTCTCGGTAGCTTGACGGGCTCTCTGAGAGGGGCGGAGGAATCGAACTCGGGTCGGCCATGTTGGCTGCATGCAAGGCAAACGCCCTACTGCTGTGTTATCGCTCCAGCCTGGAGCGATTTATTTTTTAAATATTTTTAATGAATCACTGTGAGATACAGTTACAGATTTACAAACTTTCGTGATTACATTTCAGTCATACAATGATCGTGTACCATCCCTTCACCAGTGCCCATTCTCCACCACCAATGTTCCCAGTATCCTTCCTACCACCTCCACCCCCATCCCCAGTGCCTCAGTGGCAGGCACATTCCCTCTCTCTCTCTCTCTCTCTCTCTCTCTCTCTCTCTCTCCTTTTGGGTGTTATGATTCGCAGTATGGGTACTAAGCTGGCCATCATGTTCGATCCAGAGTCTACTTTCAGCACACATCTCTCAACCTGAGTGAGCCCTCCAAGCATCAATTACTTGGTGGTCCCAGGAGGATTGCTCCATGGCTTGGAATCTGGTCTCACATGCTGGGAGGAAAAGGCAGCTGAGATAGAGAAAGGACCCTAAGCTACTTTAAATTTAAAAATAAGCTAGGCATAAACCTAAAAGAGTCACAAACATTATTTAGACAGGATGCTTCTAAGCTGTGGTTGCAGGGGCTGTGTGTCACGTTTTAGGTCTCACCCCTGTTTCCACTCCTTCAGTTTAGGGGCTCGCAACATGCTTCCTGGGGTGAGGACTGCTTGCTGAGACACAGTGAAGATGTGGGTCTCAGCCCAGGCAAAGGGTGGGTGTCCCGGGTGGGTGTTCACTTCCTCTTGATGGTTCATTTCCTCAGGGAAATGGGGAGAAGAATTGCGTTGATGGTGAGCACTGTGGGAGGAGGTGGGCACATTTAGAGAGGAAATAAAGATGAAGGAAGATCACCAGGTGGAGTTCTGGTGGGACAGGATTAACTCTGTTTTTTCTTTTTTTTTTTTGTTTTGTTTGTTTGTTTGTTTGTTTTGGATAACACCTGGTGATTCTTCGGCTTCTTGCTCTGTAACAAGGATGATCACGATCATCCTGTTGTTCGGGCGACTGCCTCGAGCAGACACCAGTAATGTTTCCTTCCTCTTAGCCCTGAGATTTAAAAAAGTGCCATATTCAAGGCTCTTTCAGGTTTAGGAGAATGAGAACCATCATTGTTACTGGTATTTGGCATATTGGGTATGCCACGGGGAGATTGCCAGACTCTGCCATGTGGGCAGATTACATTCGGTAGCCTGCCAGGTTGTCCAAAGTAAGAATAAGATAATAAGATGTCACGCGGCCGCGGAATCAGAAACTCAGGAAAATATCCGCGCAGCGTGTTGGTGGAATGTGGGGAGGACAGATCCTCACACGTCCTTGTAGAAATGTCCTATGAGGGAGGGAGAGAGCTAGCCATGCTGGGTGACTGGTCTCAGAACCAAATAACAAGTGTTCCTGGGATGGATAGCTGCTCCATCTCTGCGAAATAGAGCCCTTGCTGATGTATCTTTTTTTTTTCTGTCTTCTGTTTGTCAGTTACTTTCTATTGAGGCTTTAAAATTTGAGATTGGCTCAGAGAGAGTAAGCCAGCTAGAGTTTCAAAGGAGCTGTTTAGGAAGGGTCAGGGAGGGTCAGGGAGGATCAGGTAGGGTTGGGGAGGGTCAGAGAGGGTCTCCTCACAGTGTACTTAAGAGTCAAGGCTCCGACGAGCCTTACCTGGTGTCTTCCAGAGACCCTGAGAAGAGGCTGCAGTGCAGGACTCCACCAACCTTCCAGAATCTTCTACGACCCAGCTTTTCCTGGGACCATGGACCACTCGCACCATCACTCCAGAATGAGCGCCATGGGCCACCCCAGCGCCCTGGCCCCTTCACCCCAGCCTCTGCCCACCACGAGGCCCCACTCTCACGGGGGCAGCGCACACACGATGCCCATGACATTCTACTTCGGCTACAGGAACGTGGAGCTGCTGTTCTCAGGGTTGCTGATCGACTCGGCTGAGGCCATGGTCGGGGCAGTTGTGACCGTGTTTCTGCTGGCCCTGGGCTATGAGGGACTCAAGAGAGCTCGCGAGAGGCTCCGTGTCCTGTGCTCGCCTTTCCCCAGACCCGACCGAGCCTGCCCCCAGAAGACGTCCTGGCCGCAACTGCTGAGCGCCACTCACCAACTGCAGACGGTGCTGCACGTGTTCCACGTGGGCCTGAGCTACCTGCTGATGCTGACCGTCATGACCTACAATGCCTACCTGGGCCTGGCGGTGGTGGCGGGGGCCGGCGCCGGCTACTGGCTCTTTGGCGGGAAGAAGGCGGAGGATTCCCGGAACCTTGATAGGAACAAGGTGGAGCTCCATGAGATTTGCGGCGGAAACTCCTGTCCTGCAGGAACGAGCCCTCACCTTCTTGTCCCTCCTGAAGCCTCTGGATTGCAGCTGTTCTGATGAGTTTGACTACTGTGCTAAAGAGCCGACAGCTCCTGGACACAGTCTCCTGATGAGCGGAAACACGCCAGGACATGAAGTCCCTGGACCGCCCCGGACTCCTGGTTTATGGTCCATGTTCTAATGCACAGACTCCATCCCTGGCTCCCTGGATATTATGCTTTCGTTTATGTATTGTGATTATCATGGGTTTTTTGCTTTTTCTTTTTTTTCATTTTTCATTTCATCATCCTGTTAATCGTCGATTGCCTCGAGCAGGCCCCAGTAACGTCTCTTTCATCCTAGCCCTGAGATTATATTCACGGCTCTTTAGGAGAATGAGACCCATCATTGTTACTGGTATTTGGCATATTTGGTAGGCCACGGGGAGTTTGCCAGACTCTGCCCTGTGGGCAGGCTACATTCGGATAGCCTGCAAGTTTGTCCAAAGTAGGAATGAGGTAATAAGATGTCGCGCGGCATATGAGGTAATGAGGTAATAAGCGGCCGCGCGGTTCCGGGATCTCAATTTTATAGTCTCTGAGTCTTGGCCGCTGATGGGATTACACGGTGCCAGGGGGCCAGGTGGTGGGTGTGACCCCCGCCTACTGGAATTTGGAGGATCTGGGTGGAAGATGCTCGACTCCAATTCGAGTAGGCTTGGAGGTCTCGGCCCCGGAACCCGCGTGGCTTTGTCCCTCTGCCAGTACCTTCATGTGCTTTTTCTTAGTCATGAAAATTGTTTTGAGCCCAGAACCCAAATTTCACAATAAAACGCTTGAGCTTTTGGCCTCAATGAATGGAAAGGAGATTCTCCAGAGTGTGTTCCTTGTGCGTGATGGTCTGGCCAGGAATTTCTAGTATGCACACAGGGTGGGGTGTGAAGATCAGGAGGAGGGGCACTTCCCATGGATGTGTGTTCTGGGGGAGGCTGGCTCTTTCATGGGGGTCCTGTTGCTCTTTGGATTGCAATAATTTTGCCAATTTGGAATTTTGTCACTTGACCAGAGTTAACATACAGGGGGTTGGTGCTTGCCTTGCATGCAGTCAGCAGGTTCAATCCCTGCTTCCTCAACTGTGCTCCACCAGGAGTGATCCCTGAGCAGAGCCAAGAGCACCTACATGCACCACTTGCCACCAACCAGAATCACACACACACACACACACACACACACACACACAATTAAAATTGATGGGCAAAAAGAAAAATTTCATTTCAGAAAGAAATCTGAAGAACATTTCACTTTGTCTGGTGCCTAGGTCATCATATCCAATGAAACAAGCGTATGAATAGCTTTCTTCTGCTTTGGGGTGTTGTCGTGGGTTGCTGGTGGCCCTAGACTTGCTCTGTGTCCCAGACAGTCAATGATTGTTGTAGCCTGGCCCCAAAAGCAAGCAAACCAAACAGAAATAAAACCAAGGACACAAAAACCAAATTCAGACACTGGCCAATTTGTTCTCTGCTGCAGTCTCTCTTGCTGGTTGGCAGGCTGGTGGTCTTGCTGCGTCCTCACTTGGTACAGGGCTGGGGTGGGACTGGGGTGCAGGGTGAACCTTTATGCATGTTTTCCTATAAGGATTCTAAACCTGTTGTCCTTATGTAGGCTCGAGCCATCGTACAGGCCAGAGAGCACTTACCTTGCTTGTGGCTGACCCAGATTCCATCCCGGTCTCTGCATACGGTTCCCTGAGCCAGCGAGGACTAATCCCTGAGCACAGAGCCAGAAATAAGCCCAAAGCACCACTCGCTGGGTGCCATCTGAAAAAGCCAAAAATGTTAATCCTCTCCCAAGAGCCTCCCCTTATGGCCTTTGTCCATGTTTATTACCTCTCTGGGCTGCATCCACTCCTCCCAAAGTGCTCACCTCCAGCACAGTTCCTGCTCCCCATTTCTCTGAGAAAATGAACCATCAGAAGAGGATGCATATGGCTCCGGACAACACCAATCGCTGCTGAGACCAAAATCTTGCCCCGACATGCAAGACCCTAAACCGAACAAATGGAAAGAGTGGTAAGCCTTGAGACTTGACACACAGCCCCCAAGGACCACCACAGGACAGAAGAATCCGGTCTAGTCACAATCACGATCACGATCATCCTGTTGTTCGTCAATTGCCTCGAGCAGGCACCAGTAATGTCTCCTTTGTCTTAGTCCTGAGATTTCGAAGTGCCATACTCAAGGCTCTTTCAGGGCTAGGAGAATGAGACCCACCATTGTTACTGGTATTTGGCATATTGGGTATGCCACGGGGAGTTTGCCAGTCTCTGCCATGTGGGCAGGTTACATTCGGTAGCCTGCCAGGTTGTCCGAAAGTAAGAATGAGATAATAAGATGTCGCTTCTGGGAGCTGGGTTTTGTAGTCTCTGGATCTTGGCCGTTGATGGGATTGCACGGCGCCAGGGGGTCAGTTGGTGGGTGTGACCCCTGCCTACTGGAAGATGGAGGATCTGGGTGGAGGATGTCTAGTCATATTTGTAAATTGTCTTTGTTTTAGCCTAATTTATTTTTAAATTTAAAGCTGCTAGAAATACACAGCAGCTTTTAAGAAGAAATGGTATTTTGGGGAAACCGTGTCATAGATAATGCTGAATCACAGGACACGTAGATGGTAGCAAATGCTGGAAACAGTTCACAGTTCATTGATTCACACTCTCAGTATATATTTCCCAGGAACTTTAACAGAATGAGCTCGTGTAAAGGAAAACAGTCTGTTTCCTGCTGGGACTGGGTTGGATCGGGGCCTGCAGGAGCAAGAAGAGGGGCCACAGAGCCACCCCGAGCCCCACCAAGGGGCCTAATCAGGCTCCGCCTCCCTGCGTCGAGAAATAAACCATCTCTTGAGTCCAGGCAGATCCTCACTGAGGGTGGCCCGTGGCTCCAGAGCATAGCTGGGGGAGCCCTGAGCAGCGCTGGGTAACCCCAACTCTGCTTGATACCAAGAGGGTGACTAACCCTGGATGGCTGCAGGCTGTTAGGCTCTCCCTGTGGTGTCTGGGCTCAACCTGGGGTGACTCAGTCCCCTGCCCAGTTTCCCCAGCTACCCCGGGAGGGGGCGGGGAGCCTGTCTCAGTTCAGGGCCCAGACACGTGTCCTTGGGGTAGGTTGGGTCTCTAGCCCATGCAATTGGCAGCGACTCAGAGGAGTGACCTCTGCTGCCCAGTGTCCATCCATATTCTCTGAGGACAGCAGCCCTGAGCCAGCTCATGCACTGGGTGATGTGCTGGGCTGTGGGCGGGGCGGGGCAAGGACCCTGACCTGGCCACACAGGGCTGTTTGCCTGACATGCAGGGTGAAGCCTGCAGACCCTGACACCACCAGGCGTGGTACAAAGGCCAGAAACACACATGTCGGGCCTGGCACTAAACCATCATGCCACAGAGCAGGGCTGAATATCCCTGGGACTCTACTCTTTCTAATCCTCCCCCTCCAAAAATCGACCTCTCTTGACATTCAGTGAATTTCTGCTTTTTAACCAATGCCAGCTGTGCTCAGGGCTTATTCTGTGCTCAGAAATTATTCCACACAGGCTCAGGGGGAGCAGATGGAGTGCAGAGGACCAAACATGGGTTAACTGTGTGCAAGTCAACAGCTTCACCCCTTGACTCAACTCTGCAGCCCTGCTGCCATTCAACTGGGACCATACAGGTAAAGGAGAGAGTTCAGGGTTTGAATACAAGATGAGATTAGTCTGCTCCCCTTGACTGTCATTGTTGCCAACACAATTTTCAATTCAAGAGGAGCAGGATCCCAGGGAAGATCCCGTCACCCTGAGAAGCATCCTCGGACACTTTCCCCTTGGTCATTGTTTGACCCATCTCTGCCCTCTACTATGTCCTTCCGATGTTTCACCCCAAAAAAAGACACCAAAGTTTGCATCAAAGAGCACAAAGAGGCATTTATTGTCAAGTTTGGCTTCTGGGTTCACTGACAATAACAAACACCTTTGACTGAAGCTCAGGCTGAAGGAGCTCATCCCTGTCCATGCCCTCCCCCAGGATAACCACAGAAACAGACACAAAGCAGGAACACGGTCACCAGGGGGAGCCAGGAGAAAGGCTGTACATTAGGCAAAACATGGGAGTGGACCTGAAACCCAGGGGGCAGGGCGGCCAGGGGCTTCATCTCCTGTGAGTGTTGCAGCTCATCGGGAAACAGTGGCCAGGAGTAGCTGCCCGTTAGCTCCGTGATCGTCAAACTCATTAGAATGGCTGCCACCCAGGTGGCAAGTCGAGGAGCCTGTAGGGGCGAGAAATGTGGTCTCATCGCCCAGCGGGACTCAGTTTCCACTGTCACTCTCACTGACCTTAACCAAGACCACATTCATGTCATGGTTCTCTGACTTCGCCAGCTCTGCCTTCTTTCCACCTGAGAGCCAGTAGTGATGCCAGCTGAGGGATGCTTGGTTGCCATGGCGGTCAGCAGCAGCAATTGACTCAAGACCACCTGGGGCACGTGCAGGGTCATCTGCAGGAGGTGAGCGGCGATCAGCATCTGCTACCGGGGCATCTGCTTGGGGCAGGTTCCAGGTCTTCGAAAGGCAAGCACTGGGCACAAAGCCCCTCCTGCACTTGTGCAGAAGCCCCTTTCGAACTCTCTTGAATTTATCAACTCTCTTGAATTTATCGTAGCATATCGCTAGCAGAAACACAATCAGGAAGGCTATGGCTACAGCGACGTAAACGGCCAGTTTCTCAAACAGCAGATCCATGTTCTTGTAGTAGAAGGTCCAGGGCGCCATCGTCATCATGTTCCTGTGGGGCTGAAGCCATGGGGTGACCGTGGGGTGGTGATGAGGTCCCAGGGAGCTGGTGTGGCCCACGGGGCTCATTCCTGCATGATCGTGCAAATAGGCCATTGTCCCAGGAAAAGATGCGTCGTAGAAGAGTCTGGAAGGATGATGAAGCCCGTGCTGCAGCCTCTTCTCAGAGTCTCTGGCAGACACCAGGTGAGGCTAGTCAGGGCCCTTCCTCTTATGTGGTCTGAAAGAGACCCTCCCTGACCCTCCCTGACCCTCCGTGAC